GGAAGGAAGGAAGGAAGGAAGGAAGGAAGGAAGGAAGGGAGGGAGGGAGGGAGGGAGGAGATAGATGAGAGAAAGAAAAAGAAAAGAAGGAAGGAGGGAGGGAGGGAAGGAAGGAGATAGATGGGAGAAAGAAAAAGAAAAGAAGGAAGGAAGGAGAAAAAGAAAGAATGAAAGGAAGGAAGGAAGGAGATAGATGGGAGAAAGAAAAAGAAAAGAAGGAAGGAAGGGAGGAGAAAAAGGGAGGGAGGAGCAAAATTTAAAAATTGGCCATGATGCTTCCAGCAAACAAGCTATTCTCACAAAAAGTCTCCCACCCCTAAACAAAAACAAACAGTTGGATTTTGCACACCACTTTGTCTGGCTGAGCACCATCCAAATTTCTCTGGCCAACCTGGACAGGGAAACCAAATTCCCGCTGAAACAGCAGCGAGCCAGAATCGCATCGCTGGTCTCCTGGACAGGCCCAGACAGCTTAAGAGGCCCACTGGAGTTCATTCAGTGCCTTTGTGGCCTTCGATGGCGGCTACTGCCGTGGCTGTTCTTCCAGCCAGCCCTTTTCCTGGCTGGGTCTGCAGGCCGAACAGGGTCGGAAAATAATCCCACCTTCCGCTCCATCCGGCCTGGATCAGTTTCCTTAAAGCCAGGGCTTGGTACTCAAGCCCCTTGGGAAGAAGGCGAGGTCTCCCTAGACTGTTCCAGGGGCAGGAAAAGAGTGCCTCTGAGCATAACAAGTCTCTCCTGGCGGATTCATCACACCTGGGCAAGGAAGATGGCTTGGGGACCATGGAGTGGGGGCAGGCGGGGGGAGAAATTGCCAAGAAAGTTGTAATGGCAGAAGTACCCTGAAAATACTCATTATTGTCCCACAGCGACATAACCCAGAGGCATCTTTTTTAAGTCTCATTTTTCTTTGAACGGTAGCCCCTTGTCCAAAGGGAAGACTGACAAATGTTTTGCCATTAGGGACCCCTTTCCTTCTCAAAATCTTATTTCCCTTGCACCGATTCAGAGTCAAATGTCCCCCGAGTCCTTTTTAAAATAAATTAAAACATGAATTAAGCCTTCCCCCTCACTCACTTAATGTCTCCCTCCTTGGTCCCTCCAGGGCAGTGTTTCTCAACCTTGGCCACTTTAAGATGAGTG